TTATAGCAGCCAATATTTCGCTCTGCTGATGAAATAACATGTAATGATAACTAAAATTGATCAACAAATAGAAAAAAAAACTTATATGGTTTATTTTGTTTAATTGTTTACTATTGTTTCCTTTATACATATGTATGTATATTTGAAAAGCTTTGCGTGTATGATACCACTAAATCTTAATACTAATTTATTTGTGCTGAATAAAAATAAAAATTCAATAAAAAACCGTTTTTGATCCATTCAATTTCAGCATTGTTGTTATTTGGAAATTTAAAACATAAACAAGTGAAAAAGCGTTAAGTTCGGCCCGGCCGATACCCTACACCATAGATATACTGTCAGGTACTTGAAATGAAAATAAAGGGAACATACCAAAAAGTGACCTTTCTACAAACTGATTATGTAAACCATAATTTCAGCAATGGCTAATGAGGGTGTATACACTTTGATACAGTGAAAATGTGCCTCGTCGAAATATTGGTTCTAGACCCCACGTTTTTTTTTTTTTTTTTTTTTTTTTTTTTTTTTTTTTGACCAAATCCATTTCAGAAAATTTTGATTTCATCCAAACTTTGCCTATATTATTATTTATTCCAAACTTTGTTCAACTTCGAAGATGGGAAATATCGATCCACTCCTTCTGGTACGTCCCACACAGGGGCTACGCCTAGGCCTAAATCAGGGCTATAGTTCATATATAGTACACTATCGGACCTTACGATCTATCCTCCGCAGGTGAAATGATTACAACAGTGTCTTAGAACCAAACCCAAAACGCAGAACAAATCAGATAACTATTTTAATTTAAAAAGGAGGTTATATGGGGACTACGCCAAAAAGGGTGCGAATATTAATAATTTTTAGTAGGGAGATTTGTTACCATATACGACTACAAAATACCAAATTGCAGCGAATTCGGTTGAAAAACGCGCTCAAGAACCCCAAAATATCCAAAATTGGGGGTACCCTTATATGGGGGCTACCCGAAAAAATTGGCCAATAATTATAATTTTTTGTGGAGAGATTTGGTACCTATTAAGAACTCAAAATACTAAATTACAGCCAATTCGGTGGAAAAATACGACCAAAACCCTCAAAATACTTAGGAGGTACTGTTATATGGGGGCTACCAGAAAAAGTGGACTTATACTTATCATTTTTTGTGGAGACATTTAGTACCCAATAAGAACCGAATGTAGCAAATTTCAGGGAATTCAGCTGAAAAACGCGCTCAAGAACCCCAAAATACCGAAATTTGGCCGGTACCCTTATATGGGGGCTATGCCTAAACGTGGACCGATATATCCCATCTTCAAACTTGACCTGCCTGCAGACAAAAGACAACCCTATGCAAAATTTCAGCACACTATCTATAGAAGATAGCGTCGGATCGTCTTAGAATTTTACCCTGATCAAGAATATATATACTTTTTAGGGTCGGAAATGAATATTTCGAGTTACAAACGGAATGAAAAAATTAATATACCCTCCATGGTGGAGGGTATAAAAATAAACCATATTATGACGTTATTATGAACATAAATAATAGATCAAGAGCGGGAGATCTATATGGAGAATATAAATACGAATTAAACAACTCACGTATAAATCGGTAAACATAATTTATATTACAAATAGCCACATGACCAACATTTTGAATCAGAACAATAAAAATGATAACTTACTCCATTTTCTTTAAGGACAAAATTCAATCAAGATAAAGTGCAATCTCAAATTAAAAACACTTTTAGGACGCAGAACAATATCACCTTCGTGGTCAACATATAAATCTCTCATATAGATTGTTCAGAAAACATCGGACGTTTCAGGAAAGAAAAATCGAGACAAAAATCGACAAATATTCCTAAATAGTTACAAAGTTCGAACGTAGTTAGAGAAGTAAGCGATAGTTTTGAAGAGTGGATCAAATATTTAGTTATATGAATGAAAGAACATTTTCCGTAAATATATATTTCTGACTCTGGAATTAAAACAAATCTAGCTAAAAATCTAGGATGCTTTCTGCATTTTACAATTTTTATACAGTCCATCATGGTTATAACGAATTCAATGGGGTCGGACAATTAGTTCGTTAATGGGACAATTTGTCAAACCCATGTATGAAAATGATGATTGTAAATATTTTTAAACTTTTCTGCATTTCTGCATATATGTTTTAAATTCCTTGAAACTGAGGTTTGCAAGCTTATAACTCGCGAAATATGAACATATTGCATATAATTTAAATAAATTTCTATAAAATGAAGTGTTCTTGTCAAAATCTATAAATATTGGTGATAAATAATAAGTTGGGTGGAAGCTGTGATGGTGGTAATGTAAAAAAATGTGTGAAAATGTATTGAAGACAACGAGTTTTTTGTTTACCTTCCTGATTTGTGGCTAAACTGCACAACGCGCGCACATGTGATCAGTGACTAAGTTGCAGAATATCCCATGGACAATATGGTTCTCTATGATTTTTGTATGTATGATATAATCACTGCATCCACTCAAAAAGGATGCTGACATTTTGAAGCCGGATTTTCAGTTTTTTTTCCTTAGAATCAGAACGCGCAACAGATAATGGGCTAAACTGATTATAGGATTGTAGAACTCGTCATTTTGCTTCGTTTAGTGTATATCTCCTGAATGTGCCCACCGTAGCTTCTTTGCAATTGGATTCCAAAGACGAAAATTTGGTGAGTAAATTTTTATGAGAAACCTATTTTTTTAGTCTACATTTAAGAAGGTCCACTCAAATGCCGTTGAACCCCGCGTAATTTTAGTTTTTTTACGTGCCGAATTTAATGAGCCCAGCCCTGTTCAATTCCGCCCAATAAAACGGCGGATATAGGTATCTTGAATGTAGGAAAAACTGAACAAACTTATTTTGACTATTTCGCGTATATAATCAATCTTCGAATTGATTCTACCTACATTCATGTTGGTATTATCATATTCGCGAATCTGTGTGAAAATAGGTCAAAAATACATAGATACGCGAATAATATGCCTATTTTATTCAAAATTGATTGTGGTAGCACATCCTCGGTTCTTAACCAATTCTTTTCAAATATATGTACTTTAGTGTATTTTTAGGGTTTTTGCATAGTAAAGTGCATAGAGCGGCACACTTTGGCCGCTAAATGAAACATCAAAAAATTCATAATTATTGGAAGAGATTGATTCGGTTTATACGAAAACCGCATACGCGAATTGCATGCTTTTTAATTTTTGCAGAAGAAAGTGTCGTATATTTTAGAAGACTAAGACAAACCCGTATTTCCTTAACCATACTAAAACCAGTAAGGAAAGTTCACCACCTTGGGTACCAATCTGAAATTTATGAAAAATTTAATGTCAATCTTCGATCAAAATATATAAAAGATCTATATATAAATGGACACAGTGCTCCATCCAAAATGTATCTAGACACAAAATCCAATACAAAACTTGCATCATCAGTACCCTGTGCAAAATTTAGTCTCAATCGGACAAACATCTATAGTATGGTGCACCATTTACATAAAATCGGAGAAAACTATATATGGGAGCTATATCTAAATCTGAACCTAATTAAATACTCTGTGCAAAATGTTGTCTCAATCGGACCAATATTGGGAGTTTGGTGCACCATTTACCTAAAATCGGACGAAACTATATATAAATCTTAACTGATTTCAACAAAACTTGGCATGTATTAATAAAGACCTAATTGTGCAAAATTTTATCTCAATCCGTCATTTACCTAAAATCGGACGAAACTATATATGGGAGCTTTATCTAAATCTGAATTTTTTCCAATTTCAATAGGGTTCGTCCTTGTGCCAAATAAGTGACATGTGGCAAATTTCATTCAAATTTGATCATAAATGCGACCTGTACTTTGTTCACAAAAATACATGGACGGACGGATGGTCGGACGGACATGCGTAAATCGACTCAGAAAGTGATTCTATACATATTCTCAAAAGGAACCATGGGTCTATCTCGATTCCTTTTGCCTGTTACAAACATATGCACAAAGACATAATACCCTGTACCACAGTGTGGTGAAGGGCATAAAATTCAAATAAACGTTTTGTCTTAATTAAAAAATGTATTTATTTTAGTGACTATTATGCCGGATTTCAATGTGATTTGTCATCGACAATCATCTTCAGGGATCTATTAAAAAACACAAAATTATTACAATTTACATATAAGGATAAAACGAAAAAACATATAAGGATAAAACGAAAAAAAATAGTTGGACAAATACAAATTATCGTTCAGCGATTGGTATTTTACAAGAGCAAATATATAGCCCAAATTTTAACTTTTATAAATGTTCTACTCCTAGCTCGCATAGAGGATAGTTTTTTATTTTAGTTTAAGTTCATATTAGTTTTTAAGTTATTTATAAGTTTTATTTTTTTAAATTTTGTAGATACGACTATACAAATAATTTCAAGTGTCGGGAGCAAACACTGTACTTCAAATTATTAAATAAATTGTAAAATTATTTTACTATAAATAGTATTAGCATGTAGTATTATCTTGCAATGGTTTTAAAATAATACATTACAGTTTTAAGTGTTGATTATAATTATTGTTGTTAAAAATCCAGTCTCATAAATATTGGTTTTCATTTTATATTTTCATTTTCATATAGAATATATAAAATATAAGATGTGTCAAGGGCTGAGCCCTACATCTTCCGAGCAATGTCAACACCACCCTGATTTAGATTCATTTCCGTATGAATCCAAAATTTCAGAAAATGTCCAACGCATGTTTTTGTTGCAACAGAGTATACCAACTGTATCGTTGTTAACGTAAGTTCATCCAAGAACAACAAACAAACTGCAACTATGACTACAGTAGCTCCAAACATTCCATACACACAAAAAATAAACATTTCAATGTAAGTGCTTATGCACGGTATAGTTTCAGCTTGACATTGTATTGAAATAAAATTAAATTAAAAATATTGTAATAAATCATATTCAGCTATAAAAATGTTCTGGGGCGTTAGCGAAGCAATAGATTTCATAGAAGAATACATTCGTATTTTAAATTGCAATGATGTACAGGAAGGAATTTCAAATGAGAGTGGTACCCCTCATTGTGATATAAACGATGGAAGAAACATAAATATTTTATTATTTGGTTCTAATGATCCAAGGCACGTGATTAAGACAATGGCTAAACTCTATGCCCACCGAGCAAAAGGTTTTAATCCACTCATAAATGTTTATATTGTCGATGGATGTATGGAAATTGTTGCACGAAACATGGCATTACTCGGAATTGCATTGGAAAATCCCAAAATTATAAATCTCCGAAGTAAGACGCATATATTTATGGATGTCTATGGCAATTCTCTGTTCCGTGCCTACACGCATCAATACCTTGTGGCTAAAACGAAGTCGCTTCTAAAAATGATAACAGACAACGAATATCTACAAATTTTGGCGCCCTTCATGAACATTGATGGATTGAAATATCGTGAGCGTGACGATCTGCAGAATATTCTCAATTTCTGGTTGCCAAGGCCAGGAAATGTTTTCAATATCAAACTATATTGGTGTGAACGGGTCAGAAAATCTTTGGGGACACGTTACGACTATCGTGAAGGGCAATTCGATTGGGACCTTAATATGGTGCTAAAGGACAGAGGTGGATCTCAAATCTGTTCTCAGGTAATTCACTTACATTCATGTATAAACGGATAATTGATTGAAGATTTTACCACTAACTTTTTATTCAAACGACAAAAAATAAATACTACTAACATTTGTAGGCAGTACTATAACATTTCTTATTATCATTGCATTTATTATTATTTATTAATACTTATTAAATAATTTCAAAATTGTGTAGCTCTAAATATCATCTTAAAATTATTAACAACAAATAACTTTTTTCTCAGCCCTACATCTAAAATTCGCTTACGTTATTGCATATTACAATAGATCATTTATTTCCTTTCAGGAATATAGGCATTGGCGTGAAACTGGTATCGCATTTACGTTCCCAGAATTCGAATATAATATGCCAAATAAAACATTAGCAGCTGGATTGGTACGCAATGGCGAAAAGTATTTGCATCGTGGTTATGTTGGCGACATCCAAACTGGACCGTTTGCGAATTTCGGCCTATCTACTTCTGATCAACGAATGTTGAAAAGTGTACACGGAGAAAACGATTATCGTTCAACAGATATAACTGAGCGTAATATATTGGAGTTATTTCACGAACTAGTCTCTGGAACACCATACGTTCACGATCTCGTTCATTCGCGTAAATATGGATGTGTACGTCTTCAAATGTGCAAAAGTCTCATGAATACTACAAATGACGATATACCGATGTTGTTAGATTGTGACAAGCCCTGGATAAACATCAACGGAATTACTATTAATTTTCTATCTACGGACAATATTTTAGCAATGCAAGACAATAACTCAAGATGGGCTGAATTATTTGATATTGTATTCGTATCACATAACTATTTTTCATTTTTGAAAGAGTCATTCGTTAATATTATGCACCGGGGATCTATATTAATTATGGAAACTAAAGCAATGAGTACTGAAAGAAAGGATGCTGTGAATAATTTTAATGATAATTTATTTAGTTTTGCGAAAAGAACAAATCTGAAATCTGTTATAAATTATGAATCCCTAAATGCTAAGTGGACGCATTTGAAATTTCAAAAACTGTAACAAACTGTTTTAACTAAAGTTTAAAAAATGTAATCCATGACAGTGTATAATTTTGATAATTTTGGACAGGACAGTGTCTAATTGGGGAAAGGTAAACACTAGGTTTACAAAGTGCTAGAACACTTAAGCCGTCTACCTACATATAGTCGGCCCTTCCAACGTTCGGCTAAACCCGAAAAAGGGAAATACATTAATGTGCCTCATATTTTTAGTCAACATTGTTCATTCATATAGATTCTATAACAGATAGTATTGGAATTGTAATTTTTAGACAATATAAAAGTAATTTGATATCCACACAAAAGAAAGTATTTTGTCAACAACAACAATTTATTTATTTAAGACTATACTATTGCTATGATCGTTGGTTGTGTTTTCTTTTGGAACCCCACGTTGATAAATTAAATTCAATATTGGATTTATGCGAGCGCAGATTTGGTTTGCTAGCAGCTCCGTCATCCTTCATGATACTATCAAGGCGTACAGAAAACTGATTGGCTCGTTTCTTTAGGTCTTTTTTAGTTCGGTCATACTCCATCTGGGTATCTAATAATTTTCGACGGGGCACATGTCGCAACGACGTCATCCAATCTCCTGTCTGCTTTAAATCTAATAATATTTTGATCATTTGATTAAGTGTGAGGGATTTTCCAGAACCAGCTCCCCATTGCAAGTATTTGTCCAAGGGCAGCCGAGCCATACGCAATCCTAGTCGCTTGGCTTTCGCCAATGACAATGGCTCATTATTGACCTAAATTAAAAATCAAAATCAAGTTAATGATAGTTTATTGCACAGTTCTAGTGTAAATTTACCGTGTCAACCATAGCCCCCACCACGTACACATCATCATGATTATATTCGACCAAGTCAGTGCGACAATGTGGGGTCAAGTAAACTATATTCTCTTTGGGAAAAATTTCAGTGAAGCATTTTTGATGCACGTTCATTGGGAAATCAGTATTCAGCATTGTGGGTATATAACGTTGCAGTTTCTGCATACAAGGCGTTTTCAGGTTTACATTACAATAGTGCAAATCAAATGGATCGTCATGAGACCGATTATCGGCGAAGCAAAGCATCAACTGTTTTGCTGCGTTTTCAGCTTCCCTCTTTGTCATATACTCATCATACGAACAATCTAAAACGAGCTTCGGGGAAAATTGCATTGCCCTTATAAGTCTGTTACATGGGGAAGAAAAACTGTAGTAGTATAGTTAAATATTGTAAAACTATTCTGTACCTGTGATTCATCCAATTATTAATTGTAGAATCGTAAATTCGCAAAAACATAGAAACGTGACCCAAACCATATATTATGTGGTCATTGCTTTCCCTTTCTTCGCGAAGTTTGTCCAGACGTTCTTGGGTAGCTATTGCCTTTTCTTCCTTTTTACGTTGTTTGGCTTGCTTCTTCATTTCAACTTGCCACAAAAATCCATAATACTTCATGCGGGCAGATTTGGTAGGCAGGGTTAGCACATGCTCCCAGTGCTCATCATTGAAGAAGTCTAAAGATGGTACTCTACGCCCCTCTTGATTAGCAATGTCCACCTCCAGTTGAAGGACTTTTAAACGACGCTCCCTTTCATCCAAATTTACTGGGGAGGCACTAACTATCCGGTTGTTTTCCGCTGCCAAAGGCTTATTTTGTGCAAATGGATTTGTATATTCTCGTGTCACCGGTTGCTCCTTTACTATCCCGTTATCTTTGTTGGATGATAAGTTGCGAAAGCTATACAAGGCGTTTCCGACTCTTGGTCGTACCGTAGACCCTCTTTCGCAAAACCTTGACAAAACCTTTAACATTTTCTTTGATAATTATTCAAATTATTTCCACAGAAGACCATTCAGATCAGATCAGTGTGTTTATATAAATTTGTTTCGTAGAGTAGAGTTCAAATGAATGATTCACTAAAAAGAGCCGTCCAGCCAGCAAGGGTAGCTCACATTCAGAGTTTGCTAATTACAACCCTGTAAACCTGAGGTGAAAGCAAACGAGCCGAGGACAAACGTCGTGTTTACGAATGAGGTCAAAGCAAACGAGACGAGGACCAACCAAAAGCTGATCACGATTTGAACACTTGATCAGCTGTTTGTAGTTCCGGAACGAACTAGTTCATTGAATGACACTTCGTTTTGTTATTTACCATGGTACAATTATAAAAGGTAACAGCAAATCCCAGCTGATTTGATTCCAACGTAATACTAGTGTCAATATGGATTTGACAATTTATGTTTTTAAAAACCACCCAACAGGAAAATTGGGAACGCATACAATTTGAAATTGTTCTTGATTAAATGTGCTCCCGTATTCAATTTACTCAATCTGCCTGCTGGGAAAGTTTGAGGAAGCAAATCTTTCTTCATTGAATAACTCGCAATTCCCTGCATTTTCATATGTGTTACACATATAAGTGGCAATGGCTCAATTATAGGAAAGATGTGGAAGCGATAGAAATATAAATTTGATAGATTTTCATTCATGTTTTTCAAATTTTATTTTGGGGATTCAAAAATATTTCATTTTCAAAATAAATATAATTTATTTGTTTGTTTACATTTTTCTGTCAAATAACGTTGACACTAGTATAACTTACAAAAACAAATTTCCATGTGGTTGTTGTATCGTTTGTTGTACAACAACACTTGCTGTTACCTTTTATTATTATACCATGGTTATTTACTATAACATGATAACACATTGTCATATGGGCTATAAAATAAGAGAATTTACCTTCTCGTTTACATCGTACTGGATTTAACTAAAAGGATTTAATTAAATAGTATAATAAGTAATAAACGAAGTATAATTGGAAAATTTTGCCAAATTTCCGGAACATAATTACATTACATAAAATCACACGCATAGATATATTTAATATATTAAATTTATAATATAAATTTAATTAATTAAATTGATTGCGCTTATCAGGTTCGTGCACCTTCTTTAATTTTAATTTACGCTGTTTTAAAATCGATGATTTGTATAGGTTCTGAATGATTTCCATATAATAGATATAATAGCCCCAATTTTACTTGACATCTCAACGCGAGCATTCTGCTTAACCCTTCAAAAAGTTAAAATATATTTAACTCCGCAGCGCATCGCACATCAACTTCAATCGTTAACGGCTAAGCAGAATGCTCGCGTTGAGTTATCCGTCGCGTTATATGTTATCGAAAATACAACAATCACAAGGAAACGATAATACAAACGCTCGAAGTTGATGTGCGCTGCGCTTCGGAGTTAAATATATTTTAACTTTTTGTGTGCGTTAAAGCGATAACAAAAAACGCTCAACGCCAACATTCTGTTTAGCCCTTGACGCACCGTAAAATGTTATCACGACAACAACGGCAGCGGTAATGGTGTTTTTACACGATATGTATTTTACATATGTGCTGTCACTTATTTCATCCATATGTAATTCTTTATGTGTGTCAAAATTAGCAACGTACACAAAACTTTTATTTTTTGTGTTCAAATCGGCATATGTATTTTACATATGACATAACCTATAAAAAAAAACACTTTTATTTTTTCTTAGATCAACATCATTTTTTATTTAACACCTACAAATGAAATAATAATTTGTAATTGTTGCCTTTTCATCCTTTTCTTTGACTTGCAATTGAAATATTTTCTTTCAACAATGTGTTTCATTCAAACAGCGGATTTCCTATGTTTCACATACGAAAATAGAGTGCGTCCTTTTGACACACCTCATACAAATAAAAAAATATTGAGTTATTACGCAAAAAATAATTTTCAAAATTTAAAACAATTATTTTTATTTTATGTATTCACTCCTATACTATAACAATGGAAAGTAATATTTCATTTATTTGTTCCAACAAACCATAAAAAAATCGAGATCGTGTCAACTCCAAAATTTTGCACAGCATAAGTCATGGTACCCCTGGTCAGAGCTGATATTCCACATCATTTATGGTATAAAATCGTTTAGTAAAATAGGTGACAACTATTTAGAGTTTTGCCAAATTCTCTTTCAAAACAATAACGGTACTTTCCATATTTCCAAAAGCATTTGCTTAGTGCAACAAGTGAAAGCAAGTATTTTTTAAAATGCCTTGAAAGGAACTAACTATTGAAGAACGAAAAATAATAATTAGTAACCATGAAATGGGAAAATCCTATTCCGAAATAGGTAAAATGATAAACGGAACCCAAACAGCAGTCCAAAAAGTGGTTAATCGATACAAAAAAGAAAATATAATTGAAAATAAACCGCGATCAGGCCGTCCCAGGAAGCTCATCATCAGAGAAGAACGAAAAATTGAAATCATACAATTTCTAATAAGGCCCAACTCAAAGAAATACTTTTGACAGAATGGGGTAAAATATCGTCGGACTACACTAAAAAACTTGTATACTCAATGTCCGAACGATTGAATGAAGTTTTAAAACTCAAGGGATATCCTACCAAATATTAATTAAGTCAATTTAATTGTAAAAATTATGTAATATTAAATAATTCATTATTTTTCTCTAGGGGTACCAAGACTTATGCTGTGCAAAAATATGGTCGATTTGGTTTTATATTTTGTTTTAATAAAAAAATGAAATATTACTTTAATTTGTTGTAGTATAGGATTGAATACATGGAATAAAAATATATATTTGAAATTTTTTGAATTACTTTTTGAGGAATTACTGAATATTTTTTGACTTGTATGGGGTACCATGACTTTTGCTGCTCACTGTATGCAAAATACATATCGTGTAAAAACACCATAATATGTTTTATGGCATGTACAGACGAGCGTCGCTCTCTCATTCGTTGTTCGACCCTTAATTATGAAGTAATTACTTAGTTCCCATACAAAATGTTCTGCCTTTCAGCCTTACCCAAAAATTCAACTAGCTCGTCCGACGTTTTTCACCACAAAAGTAGAACACATGTACATATTTATATGAATGTTACCGAAATACGTCGTCGTACGAATTTTCAAAGTTGAAAAAATTCAACTATGACAGAACGTAGTTTTGTTTTTTTTTTTTTTGTTGAAAAAATAAACAAAACTTCAAAACATATATTTTTTTCAATAAGAATATAAAATATTTGAACACCTTTTTTAATTTCTTAATTTTATTTCGCGATTTTATTCAGTTCGCTAAGAGAAATGGGTCCGACGTATTTGGGTAATACGGCCGTACAAAACATTTTGCCATAGTGGGGAAGTTGAATATTTTTGTACGCTTCGTTGAATTTTAGGTAATGTTGTTAAAGGTAAATAGATATCGGTTCATACTATAGTCAGGATAAAGAAAATTATTTTTTCTATTTAGATCCATATATGATTCACGCAAATATGTAAGAATTTTGGTATGAAACAAGAAACAAATACGACGTTTATATTAGAACTATTTACCGGGTTAACCTACACTATGAAGATTTATTTGACATATATACAATGAAATTGATAATTTGAATCCACTGGGTTAACGAAATCCGATAAAATGTAAACGCCGTAAAAAAAGTTTGAAATAAATAAACTCTGATGACATGAATTAAGAATAGTGTTGTATGAACGGGTTAATTCTTGTATGTAATTCTGAGAGCGAACTACGTTGTTCGAATACCCGTCAGAACATGGCATTATTTTACAACGTTACCTGAATTCTAAAATGTTCAACTTCCCCACTAACTAATCAAATCGCAAAACAAAATTAAAAATTGTAAAATGTGTTCAAATATTTCACATTTTTATTAAAATATATTTTGTTTCTTTTTTTCTTTTCAACAAAGGAAAACAACAAAACTACGCACTGTCATAGTTGCTACTTGCAACTATTATAATGAAGGTATATATGTGAAAACATAAACGTAAAAGTGAGAAGGCTTGCTCTCGGCCAAAACGGTTACTGGCAGAGCATTTGACGTCTGCCAAAATAAATAATCTTAAAAACTACATAACAAAAACAATGTTGTGTCTGCTTCAACATGATAAACAGAGCGTTTACAAATGTAAACAAAAGAGTGTGTGAAAAAGAATTTAACAATGAGTGGTCAATTAAGACAAAGTGAACATATATAAATATAAAAATTGAAACTTAAAATATATATATCACAGAAAATACGAATTGTTCGGGATAACAAAACTAGTGTAAATGAATTAAAAGAACTTATAAAATATCACAGTTGATTCGATTGCACAGGTTTAAATAATAATATCATATTTTGTTAGCCTCTATGTGTTCCTGGGCTTGTTTTAATATAAAACTGTGCTGTGGTACTGTCTGGAACCGGATCCAATATTTCATTTAAAATGCCAATTGTGGAGAGGTATGAAGATGATGTCTCTGTCATAAATTTCATTCATCAATATGTTATCGTGAGATGGGAGCTTCTCGACGAAGCGTTTTTGGAGGTGAAGGGCATAAAAACGCAATGGTTCAACTCCAGAGGTGTCGTAAATGTATGTATTGGAAAACATTTTCGTTTGATTTTCATATTTCTTATTTATACATTTTCTCAATATTTTCCGTTCGAAAATCTCCAATTCTTTCATGACCGATGGTTTGATGGAAAACCAAATTGGAAATCCGTATATAATAGCTGACCGAATGGCAACATTGTAGAGGAGGATTTTGGTTTTTTGTGGTAAGTACTTGCTATTAAATAGATGCGATAAAGAACCAACTAATTTCTTCGCTCTGTTTATTGTAGATCTCACATGTGTGTTAAATTTCAGCAGCTTATCAAAAGTAATTCCGAGATATTTTATGCCTTACTCTGTGGCACCACATGTTTTGCGCACTTTCCCGATGCATTTCGTATGCAAATAGCTTGGGATTTTAAAGCATTAATACGTATTCCCCACGTTTTATAATATTGATTTATTACGTGCAAATGTTCTTCCGCTTGATGTAATGCTTGTTCTGGGGAACGGTTGTGCGCATATATTAAACAGTCGTCCGCATACAGAATTGCTTTCGAGTTCAGCGTGGTGTGAGGAAAATCATTAAGGAATAAATTGAAGAGGAACGGAGCCAGAACACTTCCTTGAGGAACTCCACTGTTTACTGGACCATAATACATGTTAAAATTCGTAAAGTTCCATCGGGAAATTTGCGTATAACAAAATTCGAAATTCCATCAACACCACTTGATTTTTTATTACTAATTCTTAGAATAATTTCCTTTATTTTTTCAGGTTTGGTGAAATGATAATCATCGTCATTTAAAATTGCGTTAAATTGGTTGTCAAATGTATAGATTCGTGGAACTGTGGATGTGAGATATGACGAAATTGTAGATTGAAGAACCTCATCCCGGAATTCTGGAACAGTTTCACGGAAGCAAGACGAATAATATTGATGGAATTGATTTGCTATTTCGGATGAGTTGGACACAGTGCTATTGTCAACACGCAATTGCTGACAAAAGGGGGATTTCCTTCTACTGCTAAACTTATAGATTTCCTTAAAAGCGGACGGACGGACGGTTTGATATTTTGTAGATGATTGTTAAATATATTTGCTTGTTCAATTCTAATTGACTCTTTTATAATAATTTTTAGTAGCTGAATTTGTTTTGATATTATGCGATACTCACTGCTCAATCTATTTCCAGTTCGGTGAAATATCTTTTTTAATTCTTTTTGCCATTGGAATTTCACCTTGTATAGCTTTTTGGATCTATCCGAAAGCGGAAACAGGCCATTTCTTATTGTGACACTTTGTGTGTGGGCATCGTGAATGGAGTTGAAACAGCTGTTGAAGTCATCAATTAATCCATCGATTTCGTCGTTATTGAGATTCGTTACTGGCAGAGGTAAAATTAATTGAGATGCATTATCAAAATCTCTTCGAAAATTTTCCCAGTTTGTGTCTTTGTAGGAAGTATACGATTGGAGAACATTTAAAATTAGATCAGAACAATTCAACTTGATTGATAGCTTCAGCGGGAAATGATCGGAAAACGTGGGTAATGATGAAATTGAAAAAATCGGTGTAATATCTGTTAATTTGGAGCTGATCAGAAAATGATCTAGATAAGATGGCCCGTTTGGAAAAGATGGTGACACATCGCAGACACGAACCACATCTAAAGAATTGGATTGCAGCCAAGACTTCAAAATTTTGCCATTGGAGTACTCAGCAGAATCATTCCATTCTGGATTTCTGGAATTTAAATCTCCGCCCAGTATAAATCCATCAAATTGTGCACATATTTGCAGGATTTTATCAAGATCAGCTTCTAAGTGTTGAGCAGGACAATTTCCCGGAACGTATAGGGATCCAAGGGCAAATTTCCTTCGGACTTAATTTTGTAAAGCTTCGATTTGTAGTATACATACGTTTATACTAACATCCCTGATATCTATTTTCGTGTATTGTATGGATTTTTTGATAAGAATGGCGACTCCAATAGGTGAGTTGTCAATAATAGCGTTGTATCCGTCGACTCTAATCTTTCTGTTTCATCGTAGGTGACATTCTTGGACAAATCCTACATCGATGTTATTGTTAAGAAGCGTTTTTTGGAGATCTATTTGTCTACTTTTATCAAAAAGAGACCGCACATTGAATGTTAATAAATTAAACATTCTATGGATCATATTGCTGCTTAACTTTTTTAAGAATTCGCAGAAACTCTTCTTTGGCTTTTGAATTTTCCATATTTTCAAATTCGTTCAAGAATATAGATATTTCTTGTTCCAATGTCATTTCCTCGGGTTCCAGGAAAAAGTTGGCCAGTTTTAAGAAATCCTCCACTATTGACGGTTTCTGGTTATTTTTTTTGAAGTGGCTCGCATATGTCTTTTGTTGTGTAATAAAAGACATGCTCACTGCATTGTTTACATTTCTGATAGCGGTGGCTTTTTCTTCTTGCAATTTTTTGTTTTTGTTGCTTTTGGTTGCAACGTATTTCTTATAGGCAGGACAGCCTTTGAAATTAGCAGGGTGCCCAAACTTTCCGCAGTTTATACAGAAGGGTTCTGATGTATCAGTATGCACTCTCTGACATTGTCCCGGTTCGTGAGATTTATCACATTTTACGCATTTATGAACCGAGTTGCAATTTCGGGAAATGTGGCCCCACCTCTGGCATCTATGGCATTGAATTTCGCCTTCTTTTTTCTTGGGTTTTTCCCAACTGACGTCTTGTTTTAAGAAATCCTCCACTATTGACGGTTTCTGGTTATTTTTTTTGAAATGGCTCGCATATGTCTTTTGTGGTGTAATAAAAGACATGCTCACTGCATTGTTTACATTTCTGATAGCGGTGGCTTTTTCTTCTTGCATTTTTTTGTTTTTGTTGCTTTTGGTTGCAACGTATTTCTTATAGGCAGGACAGCCTTTGAAATTAGCAGGGTGCCCAAACTTTCCGCAGTTTATACAGAAGGGTTCTGATGTATCAGTACGCACTCTCTGACATTGTCCCGGTTCGTGAGATTTATCACATTTTACGCATTTATGAGCCGAGTTGCAATTTCGGGAAATGTGGCCCCACCTCTGGCATCTATGGCATTGAATTTCGCCTTCTTTTTTCTTGGGTTTTTCTCAACTGACGTCTTGATACCATATATTACGGATATGGGAGACATCCCCTAGGCTCTTGCCCGGTAGCAAAGAAACCAGAAACAATCCTGTGCTAAGTCCGTTTTTTAGTGACATAGGCGTATTGAATTTTGTCACCGATGCGACTGTGTCTGGCACTATATGATCTAGCTCAGTTTTAATTTCGTCAGCATCATTGTATGAATGCAGGCCTCTTAAAACTAGTCCAACCTGTTTCATTTCTTTTGGAGTAAATGAATACGAGTGAATGCCTTTCGCTCTCAAAATGGCCATCATAGATGTATGCACCTTGGGGTCTGCAAAGTACAATTTGCTTTTGTTCTTGCTAACATTTTTAATTTTGAACCCAAAGTCTGGAATAGATTCTCTGAGAGTGTCAACAAGTGCCTTGATGTTAACGTTGAACACAAAAATGGGGGGGCACCATTTTGTTTTTGGTTTCGATTGTTCCTTTTTGTTCTTTTTCAGTGTTTGTGATTCAATCGCAGCTTTTGGACATTGAATATTAACGTCAGCTAGAACGCTGAGAATTCCAAATCTGTTGTTATCCTGAGGATCATGATTAGCTAGTTTTTCTTTTAGCTCGGAAATGTCGATGTTTAATGGTGAGATTGCACTATCAATGCGCAGCCTCTTGCGTTCATTTGCATTGTTAGTTTTTGATGATGTCTTGTATAAAGAATCTACACAATCATTTTTGTTTGCAGTTGTAGCTACTACTTCCGCAACGTCAAAATCCATATCTGGCAAAGATGCAGGCATCATTAATGCAAGCTGATGCACTTCTGATGCCTACCAATTTGAATCTTCCAGTAAAATTTAAAATAAAAATTTAATTATTTTTCCGCTCAAAAAAATTACGTCCAATCCAAAAGGGATATGTAGATCACTACGTAGTGCAACGCACATCAACTTCAATCGTTAATGTTATCGTTTCCTTGAGGTTGCTCAAGATCTATTAATAAGGTCACCAAGATAGCAATCGAAATCGGAAAACAGCTGTTTTTTCTCAAGTCTAATGTCAAAAATTTCGACTTTGTTTACGTTTTCATAATGGAAGTCAATTCACAATAATGCATTTTGACAGCATACTTGAGAGGTATCGATAATCAGCTGGTCTCCCTTGGTGACCTTATTTATAGGCCATGAGGTTGCTGTATTTTCGATAACACATAACGCGACGGATGGCTCTGCTTAGCCCTTTAAGGGCCAAACAGAATGTTCGCGTTGAGCGTTTTTTGTTATCGCGTTAACGTGCGTTATTTTAACGCACGCAAAAAGTTAAAATATATTTAACTCCGAAGCGCAGCGCACATCAACTTCGAGCGTTTGTGTTATCGTTTCTTTGTGGTTGTTGTATTTTCGATAACACATAACGCGACGGATGGTTCAACGCGAGCATTCTGATTAGCCCCTTAGGCTCCAATAAAAAGTTCGTCCGATGATTTCACTCGAGCTGTCAAAATGCTTTCAATTTTGAATTAGTTGTGTGAAAACGTAAACAAAATATTTGCAGATTGGGGATTTAATCCCAAATTGTCGATAATGAATGCTTCTGACACGACCTGTTTATTGGAGCCTGGACTCTTCAATACAGAAAATCGATTAAACGATTAGTCGAAAGTCGATTTACTTATCCCTACTCGAAATAACGAGGTAGCGCGGAGCGTTTGTAGCGTTTGTATTAAAACTCCTAAAATAATTAAAATAATAAAAAATAAAATAGTTGCATTGTGAAGACATTAGCATTATTTTGTAAAGCAGAATCGGGCAAAATGTCGTTAATTTGTGCAAGTATGTAATGGTTTTTTGATTAAAGACCAATGTTTTTACCGGTAAACGTTTATGCTTACCCTATTTATCACTTTTAGTTACAAATGAAGTTCCAGACACCCCAGTGATTTCTCCTCATTCTGGAGCCATCTTCGAAAAGCGTATAATAGAGAAATATCTATTGGAAAATGGATGCGATCCCATCACTGGACAGGAGATGAAAGCCGAAGAACTTATCGAAATTAAGACGCCACCAATTGTGAAACCCAAGCCGCCGAGCGCCACAAGTATACCGGCCACGTTGAAAACCCTTCAGGACGAATGGGACGCCTTAATGTTGCATTCATTTACCCAAAGACAACAGTTGCAGACTACACGTCAGGAGTTGTCACACGCTTTATATCAGCACGACGCAGCATGTCGTGTAATTGCTCGTCTCAACAAAGAAGTAGCCGCGGCACGAGAAGCCTTAGCCACTCTAAAGCCCCAGGCTGGAATAGGATCTTCTGCTGCTCCTACTTCTATCCCACAACCTGCAATTGCTTCCGAAGCTGCAGGAGTTGCCACACAACCGATTGAACAGGCGGGTATGAGCGCCGACGTAATTCAAAAGTTGCAAGATAAAGCCACAATTTTGACACAAGAAAGAAAGAAGCGTGGTCGCACAGTTCCAGAGGAGCTGGTTACTCAAGAGCAGATTAAAACATTTTTAACAACTGCTTCTCACCCGGGCTTACACTCTGCCTCTATTCCTGGTATCTTAGCACTGGACATTAATTCAGCGGACCACAGCAAAATATTAACAGGAGGAAACGACAAAAATGCAACAGTTTTTAACAAAGACACAGAACAAGTTGTCGCAATTTTAAAGGGACACACAAAGAAAATTACTAAAGTAATATATCACCCTGATGAGGACACTGTTATTACTGGTTCTCCTGACATGACTATACGCATTTGGAATGTACCATCGTCCCAAACGCAGTTGCTGTTAAGATGCCACGATGGACCAGTTACTGGTTTATCTCTACATCCCACTGGAGACTATGTACTATCTACGTCATCCGACAAACATTGGGCTTTCTCTGATATAAGAACAGGACGTTTACTGACGAAGGTTTGCCCCATTTTTTACTCATATTTTTAGGAAACTCATACAAATTTTATTACTTTGAATAGGTTATAGATACAGCCGAAGTTGGTCTAACGACTGCCCAATTCCATCCTGATGGTTTAATTTTTGGAACTGGCACTGATGATTCCCAAGTCAAAATTTGGGATCTAAAAGAACAAAGCAACGTGGCAAATTTCCCAGGTCACACTGGACCCATTTCCGCTATATCTTTTTCAGAAAACGGCTACTACTTGGCAACGGCTGCTGATGACGCTTGTGTAAAATTGTGGGATTTGCGAAAATTAAAAAATTTTAAAACAATTCAACTAGACGACTTTTACACTGTCAAAGATTTATGCTTCGATCAGAGTGGTACTTACTTGGCCATAGCAGGTTCCGATGTTAGGTAAGTAATCGAAAATAAAATATTTGGAAAACTAGAGAAAAAATAATCGCAAACAGTAAATGAAATGCGGTTTCTTAGCCAAACCATTTAATGTTACAATACATGTTTTGTTCCTAACACGAATAAACAAAATAGGCAGTGTTCGGCTGTTCTCAATGTATTTGTAATAAAAGTACAATTCGCAAACTCCCTCAATCCATACTCCATACTGTCGAATTTATGCCCTTTATAGCACACACAAAAGAATGTCGCTTGTAACGAATGGTGATTTCCCCATGTTATGTGTACTGTACATATTGTTGCCAATTTTTATAAATTTTACAGATTTTTTTTCTGTAAATGATTTTATCAGTGCATAATTTACGAACCAAGGGCTGTTCAAATTTTACCATAGTTCATGATTTAATTATGTGAATACCACTGTATATCACCCACATTTTATTAATTGTAAATTCGCCGGTCCCTTGATCCTCGTTATAAGCGATTTCTCTAATAATTAATTTCTTCTTATTCAATGTAGTCCATGCATCAAAGATAATATTTTTGCACATACGATGAATACAATTAAAGATTATGTCTAATATAATCTATACGGTAGTACAGTACACCTGCTACAACAAGTTCGTTTGCTGCCGTTTTTAAATACAGAGTAATATTTTTTGGTACATGACCAATAGTATATATTGGAAAGAATTATGCCTACTAAACATCTACGCGATTTAGAAGTTCTTTATTTGTTGTTGTAGCAGCCCTACTGCTTTTACAAATGAGCTGAGGTGGCACACGTTGGCCGAGTGAGACTCGGGTCGTTTCAGATCATAGACCCCTCTGTCGTGGAAACGAGGAGTTCACTACTAACTTTTTTAGGTTAGCCATGTGTGTACTTCTCCTCTACCTTTTGGTGTTCCCTAATCAGAATTCATTCATTGTCAAAGATTTTGTGGCATCTTGGTCGACATATCTTTGGTAATATCTTATTGCCGTTTGACTTTATTTTCCTTACTGTCTAGTTTCTTTGTTCTTCTCCCAGAAAAATAATCTTATATATTCAATTAAAAATATTTAGGAAAAAATATAAAAGTGCTTATTTTTAATATATCGCTCATTTGCTGCAAGGCAGGCATAACTTAAAAAAGCGATTTTCAGAAAATGCGTTTTAAGTTTTCAATTTGCTCACACTTTATATGGGACAGTGTGTTTTACACAACATGAGGTCTATTACAGCAAACAGTCGTGCATCATTAACTCGAAAATCACGTTTTTATGAGTTATGCCTCTCTTGCAGAAAATGAGCTGTATGTTAATTTAATTTAAAGATCGATTTAGTTATTCTAAAAAATACAATACGTTTAGGAAACTTGATAATGAAAAGGAGGTAGACTACTAGTAAAGTATTGTTTTTAAAATTATATATTTGTTAAAAGTCGCAGAATAGGGCCACAGATGTAATAAGACACAAATAAAGTTTTGTGTACCTTGAAGTGAAATTGAAATTATGATTTGCATACAATTAACTGTTCAATAAAAAATAGTTGTCAATTGGTAATAGAAATTCACAAAACAGCAATTAGTTTATTTATTCGAAAAAATACAATAAGTTTAGGAAACTTGATAAAGAAAAGGAGGTAGACTACTAGCAAAGTATTGTTTTTAAAATTATTTATTTGTTGAAATTCGCAGAATCATTTTTCTCGTAAAATATCGTGTTTTTTATAATGCTTCATCCAATTGTGTAGACGATTTTGTTTTATCAGTGCACGCCGTGAAAAGTCCTTCTGCATTTCTAAACGTTTTCTTACACCCATTTCAACTTGTTTGCATTTATCTGGAGTATATCTTTCCAAATCATGTAAAAGATTCTGCAATTAAAAACGAAATCAAAAATTTAAATCACAGCAACAGGTTATTTTGCACGAACAGAATTTAAATGAGCTATTTTTACGAGATGTAAGTTCTCAAAATAAATGTATATGAAAAATAATGTTTAAATGGTAAAAACAATCATAGTAATTTAGCTTATAATATGAGTTTCAAATTATTATTAATTACACTGTGCTACAAAATAACAAAAAATTTTTTTTCAGGGGTTCTAATGTACCAATTCTGTTTAGTTGGAGTCTCTGGACCACGAAAATACCTTTGGTTTTTCTGGGTCACTTCGAAAATTTATTATATAACGGTAAATATAGAGAAAAACGTGGTTTCATGGATTTTCAATTTAAAACTCGAATAACTTATTTACTTTTTAACAGATTTATATTATTCTTTTTTCTTTCGAAGAGTACAATTTTTCCTTTCAAACAAGATATATATTTGGTAAATCGGTTGAGGATTGACTGAGTTACAGCGGTTGAAATGTGAAAAAATACGTATAAAATGACAAAATTTACTTTTCTTCGGGCTGTACAATGAAATTATGACATCAAGCCATATAAGTTTTATTATATTACGGGGAAGAAAATTAAATTAGCTTTCGAAAATGTAAAAATCTAAAAAATCGGTTAAAAAATGGATGACTTATACACATTTTTGTATTGATTCTATGCATATTCTCTAAAGGAAATATGGGTCTGTATCTTTTCATGTTACAAACCGTTATGTTTGCAACAGGCAAAAGGAAACGAGATAGACCCATAGTTCCTTTAGAGAATATGCATAGAATCAATAATTGTACTCTTCGAAAGAAAAGAAGAATAATATAAATCCGTTATAAAGTAAATAAGTTATTTATGTTTCAAATTGAAAATCCATGAAACCACGTTTGTCTCTATATTTACCGTTATAAAATAAATTTTCGAAGTGGCCCAGAAAAACCAAAGGTATTTTCGTGGTCCAGAGACTCCAACTAAATATATTTGGTACATTAGAACCCCTGAAAAATTTTCGTGTCGCACAGTGTTATTATTATTATTTTGCTCAATCGTGTATAATCGATTTATTTCAAATAAAAATGTACTGTCGATCCTCTAGATAATATTCTGTATTAACAGAAATTGTTTGTATATTTACATTCCGTCGGCCAAATTTCAAGTATTATATGTGTTTGTTCATATTTAATTACCTGTAAGTACCAATGGAGCTTTCCAATGTTTTCTAAAGTATCAACATCTCGTTCAGTGGTTGAAAGTGGTACACCTACCGGTGATGATGATTGACTCTTCTCCGCAGAAGTATTTTGAGATTTTGCTGTTATTGCACTTCTTGGAAAATCATTAGGTTTTGAAATTTTGTATTCAATGCGATGAAGTATTACTGGAACAATTGAATTAATCAACAATTGAAGTTTACTGAAAGAACACAACATTAACAGGGCATGAATAATAATTATGGCATCTAAAGTAAGAAATATATACTCTTTCTTTTGGCGCCTTTCAAAATCACATAAAATTGCCAGTGAGTGCTTCATTAAAGAATTTATACGGTTTTGGAGAAATTCGGTATCTACTAAAAATATAGGCTGCGTCACTCTTCTTGTAAATGTTTTTTCCTAATTCAGTAAAATAATTTATTGCTTTTAGCTTATTTTCCAAAAAAAGAGAAGAACTATGTATCAATTATTACCGATTTGTCATGAACAACAGACACCAGGTGGTTTAGTAAAGCCACCTGAGCAAATCGTCGATTATAATTGAAAATTTTTTGTCTTGTGCGTTCGTAACCCTGAAACAAAAAATACTTTTAAATACACATTTATTGCAAGTATTCGTAATACCTTGATCCATATATCGGCGTTAAGATGGTTTCTCTTGACTAGGTATGGTCTTACGACCTTATCCATATATATAATGATGTTGGAAACTTCACTTTGGCCTACTGGATTTTTTTCGTTTATTTCCAATTCAACAACATTTTTTGGAAGTGGGAGATTCCCCTTCACTTGGTCATTGTCTATGTCTTCAGGTGATATTATTTCGTCGAAATAGCTCTGTAAGAAATACCATATAGTCAAATTCACAAATATATTTATATTTATTCATTTTTACTACTTACAATTAATTTCAAAAGAAACAAAAACCTGGCGTACACTTCTTGCACTTCCATTAGGATTCGCTGATGATCTGCGGCTATATTTCTTAGTTCCTCACTTATTTTTAACTTTTGCAAATCCAGCCACTGTTTTTGTACTTGTTGCATTTCCTTAAAGGCACTTGATTCCATTTTGCGAAGGGCATTAAAAGCAAACTGATTTACATAATTATGTGAAATTGTCGGTATATTCTTTTTGTATAAATTTTACCTCTTGAAAGTCGGTAATATGTTGATATGCATTATCTTGGAAAGCCCTTTCCCTTTGCTTTTCTAAGTACTTTTGCTGTGTAGCATAGATAACGAATTTCTTTCGTGTTATTTCTCGCAGTCTTAATATATCTCTAGTGAGAACATTTCTTATTGTTATTGTGAGAATTAAGAACTCAAAATAGTGAATAAATAACAAACAACATGAAAAAAGAGAAAATTGTGCTGCATTCAAATGGAAAAGCACTACTTACGTTTTCATTCGAAACTTTTTAGTTATTCTTTGTAATGCAGCGTCCTTTGTATAATTCGGATCTATTGTAGTTACAACGCAAGGTGCTCGGGGATTTGCCACTTTTCCTTTCTGTAAGACAAAAGATTTTAATTCGAATATGACTCATCGTATTGAATGTTCATGTCTTTATTGTAACGAATACTTACGGCATCAAAGTCCTCAATGGTCAAATTTATTCTTTGAGGTTGGTCAGGATCTTTCAAATCCGAAGCCGCAAAAAAATCTGTGAAAATAAAAGGATTTTAACAGGCAATATATTTTTTACTTAATAATGGCAACACTTTTTAATTTGGAATTCATTGTTTGAAAAATAAATTCCATAAAATTGTATGCATGTCAATTGGCATTTTTTAAAAAATTAAAAATGTACACTCTCCAAAGATTTTAAGTATGTATTTTTAAGATGGACAATTCTTTTCATAATTGCATATAAATATACATGCAAGGTGTATTTAATAAGGTGTATGCATCAGATACAACAACAAATATTTTACGTTTCCACGACAGAGGGGTCTACGATCCGAAACGACCCGAGTCTTACTCGGCCAACGTCTGTCACCTCAGCCCATTGTGTAAAAGCAATAGGGCTGCTACAACAACAACAACAAATATTTTACAAAAACAACATTGTTGTTATAGAAATAAAATTGTCATGCTGACAATAAGTTTTTGACAAAAATAAACAAAAACAATTATAAATTAATTTTGTCAAGAACTATTCTTTGAGGGATAATGAATTTGTGTTATTGACGGTTTTAGGTCAGTGAAAAATAAAGTTTAAGACCTGGTCGCGATTAATTTAAAGTTTCCCACAATTAGTCCATGGCTCTTTGTGACGTTGTTTATATTGTGGATTACAATCTATTTTTTCTATGGAGTAGCTAGCTTCAAATCTTGTCTTCTTAAAGAAAATTGAACGACATAGATGGAAATTGTGTTGACCGTATAAAATCTTTCCATAGGCGTATTTAACTTCCGCCGTGAATTGTGACAAGCACCAAGGGGTCGATTTCAATATAGGCTAACATAATCTCCTCGATTTTATGAGTAGCTGAGATTTCTGGACAGATTTCCACACATAACATAAAATATGTGGACCAATCGGCGAACGGTTATAACTGAGCCTAGGTTTCCTTTCTGTCCCACTCTTTGGATGTAGTTTTCTTGAATTTTTAGTATTTAACAAGTGAAAAAGCGTTAAGTTCGGCCGGGCCGAACTTTGGATACCCTCCACCATAGATATACTGACAGGTACTTGAAATAAAAATATAGGGAATATACCAAAAAGTGTACCTATACCGACTTTTATACAAACCGATTATGGTTCTAAATATTGGACCAAATTTGTTTCAAAAATTTTTTGATTTCATCCAGACTTTGCCCATCTTATTATTTCTTCCAAAATTAGTTCAATTTCGAACATAGGGAATATAGGTCCACTCCTTCTGTTACCTCCCACACATGGGCTATGCCTAAATGTGGGTTACAGTTCATATATATGAATATATATATAAGGTTAACTATCGAACCTTATGTTTTAGTTTTTTTTTTTTTTTTTGTATCTTCCGCAGATGAAATGATTACAACAGAGTCTTAGAAACAAACCCAAACACGGAACAAATCATATAACTATTTTAATATAAACCAGTAAGGAAAGTGTAAAGTCGGACTGGGCCGACTATATGATACCCTTCACCACTTCGGGTATATTGCATATATGTATCCTAACAGATGTTGTCATTTCGAAGGAACATTGACATGATTGAACGAACTAAAATATGCGATCTTTATCTATAATTAAACCGACTAACTTCAATTCCAACACATGCCATTCTGCAACCTATTCCATATTTTTTAAATAGATTTAAAGCAAACTTTAGACACGCTATTTGGTATGCTTCACTGTTTAAATCTGAACCGATTTCAAGGAAACTTGGCAGTGATTAATTTATATTAATTTTAGTACGTTTTGTCTATCGGCATAGCTTTGGGTCTTTAGTGCACAATTTACATTAAATCGGAAGAAAAGAAATATGGCAGCTATATCTAAATCTGAACCGATTTTCACGAAACTTAACAACATCATTCTAGACTTAATTCAGCATGCTGTGCCAAATTTGGTGCAAATCGAAAAATATATAGGGACTTTGGTACGCCATTTACCTTAAATCGGACGAAAATATATATGGGAGCTATATCTAAATCTGAACCGATTTTCACGAAACTTAACACACATCATTCTAGACATAATTCATTACGCTATGCCAATTTTGTTCAAATCGAAAGATATATAGATATATATGCAAATTTCGTGCAAATCGAAAGAGATATAGGGACTTTGGTACACCATTTACCTTAAATCGGACGAAGATATATATGGAAGCTATATCTAAATCTGAACCGATTTTCACAAAACTTAACACACATCATTCTAGACCTAATTCATTACGATAAGTCGACTTAGCATGTTTTAAAGTTCTTTACGTTTTTAGATACTACGGTCCTTAATTTAGATTCTCTGCAATTTTGGTAATCATCGGCCAATCCAAACCAAAGTTATAAGCAAAAATGTACTTAGCATGGCACGTAAGATTTAAGAAACTTCCATACCATAATGTGGTAAGTACACTTAGCATATTTCGGCTTAGAACTTTTTGAATTATATCGAATGCTAAGTAGACTTAGTATATTACAGCACGGACTTTTTTATGACGAGTTCGCTATGTATACTTGGCATTGTCGTTATTTTATTTTTAGTGTTTCTAAGTTCACTTAGCATGATTTTCACCGAACTTCAAAAAGTAGTTTGTGTGTGTAAGTATACATAGCATACTATCCCAGTAGTTCGAGTAACTGGGTATGAACTAGTTATTTTACTAATTACCTGTAACTACCACTAGTTACCACATCATACCCTAGACTGGTGAATTTAACATGTGTATGTCATTGGGGAAGTCAATTGTCCCCTGCCTGCATTACAAGTAACCAGTCATTTGGGTAGATACCATTGTTAAGTATTATTCCTAGTTACAAATATGTAGCAAATTGGCTATTATAACAGTTTGGAAAATTAAATATATAAATGTTATACGGAATGTGTATTTTTTTATTTATTTCAAAATTTATATTGCACATAGTTTATGTTTCATTTTATCAGAATTTTAACGCCGTCATATTGACATTTGCATTTTTTTTGTGTCTTGACCGTTTTAACACCCGTTCTCTACGAAATATTGAAGCATCTGAAACAGAAAATTACAAAATACAAATAAAGGTATGGGTCATTTTGGAGAATATTTACCTATTCAAAAACTAAAGTTGATTTCTCAATCTGTTAGATGCTTCTGAAGTGACATCTATTGAAAATCTGTTAGATAATAATGTTGAAATATTACGTACATATGTATATATATATTTATTGTGTTGCATTAATAAAACTTACCCCAGATTTATCTTATGTATTTTTCCCGGATTTTTAATTCAACAGCACTTCATCTTGTATATCGTGGATATATGTACATGCCTTTTACGACATGCTTAAAAAGATATTTTTTTAAAAAATTGCTTTCAGAATTCTGAAAATTATAAAAAAAAAACCTGAAGAAAATGACAATTCCTTTTTTTGTCTTGTTTGTCGATTCACTACTTTTTACATTACCAGTAACTACAGAATTAGATAGCTTTTTCAATCAACAAATGAAGTCAATTGTATATTTTATGTTCCATTTTTGGATATAAAGTAACTAGATCACTAAGTAACTAGCTATATAACTATGTAATAGAGGATAATTGATATTTTTTGAACAACTGGGATAGTTTGGAAAAAATAGTCGACATTTAATTAAAGAAAATTTTCACATTTTTACAAATAATATGAGTTCGATTGCGCGGAAAAAGCTGAAATTGGCACAAAATATGTCAAAAGGTAATAGTTATTTATATTTAGTTTTATATTATGTTATTAATCTGATTTCGCTTCTTTTTAGCTATAATCTGCTTGAAAAATGTTAAATTTAGACGTGCTTCCAATGTTATATTTAAATTTCGTTAAAATCAGTAAAACACTCCATGTTCTATCTCACACCACTCCTGAGATAACGTCCGTAAACTTTGAGAGCTTCTCCTGAAAAACTCACTTTTCAGACTTAGTATACTATTCTTCGGAGGCGTCGATATAATATTGAAAATGTTTTTGACATTTTAGTTTACAAACAATAAAGAAAAAAGTTTGAAACCATATGATTGTCACTTACACCTTATTAAATACACCTTGTATACATGCATACATGGTACAATTATAAAAGGTAACAGCAAGTCCCAGCTGATTTGATTCCAACGTAATACTAGTGTCAATATGAATTTGACAAATTATGTTTTTAAAAATCACCCAACAGGAAAATTGGGAACGCATACAATTTGAAATTGTTCTTTATTAATGTGCTCCCGTATTCAATTTACTCAATCTGCCTGCTGGGAAAGTTTGAGGAAGCAAATCTTTCTTGAAGGAATTACTCGCTATTCCCAGCATTGTCATATGTGTTACACATATATATGGCAATGGCTCAATTAAAGGAAAGATGTGGAAGCGATAGAAATATAAATTTGATAGATTTTCATTCATGTTTTTCAATTTTTATTTTGAGGATTCGAAAATATTTCATTTTCAAAATAAAAATAATTTGATGATAATTTGTTTGTTTGTTTACATTTTTCTGTCAAATGAGTTGACACTAGTAGAACTTACAACAACAAATTTCCATGTGGTTGTTGTATCGTTTTTTGTACAACAACACTTGCTGTTACCTTTTATTATTATACCATGACATGCATATATGAGAAAGCATATACAGTGTGTGTAATAAGTATTTTGCCTCAATACAAATTTGACAAAATTCCAATATATACGCCTAAAGCCAGCATACTAAAGATGTAAAATGAATTATGTATGATAGCATGTGTTTGTGGACATATTTAGATCATATTTTTGCAAGAATCACTGCGAAAGTGCTATTGGTCTCGAAGATATCGGCCAAAATCTATACCAACCCAAAAATGATTATCACAAAAAAGTATTTTGCTTTTTATTATTATTATTGAAAAAAATATTCTATAACACACGCTTTGCCTTTTTATAGTTACCATGGCGGTTAACCACATACTATAAGCGATTTGGCGACGATTCCAATAAACCACGGCATTTTTTTCGCGAATCTCAAAATGAGAGTATTAAATATAGTCGTCGCGGCTTCAAAACATCCCAAATAAGTTTAGAATAATAAAAAGGAGATTTTGCAAAATATTTCGCGAGGACAGGACCTTAAAAACTATTAAAACCAAAATCCGATAAACAAATTATTTAAAAAATATCGCGAAATCCCATTTTTCTGACTTTGAAAACTTTAAGGTCCATTAATATTGATCTAGGAACCAATATATGCGATGAAAATAGCAATAAGGAGGTCAGGTTCAAAGATATGAACGCAAATGTGAGAAAACATTCGCGAAAAAAATGTCGTGGTTTATTGAAATCGTCGCCAAATCGCTTATAGTATGTGGTTAACCGCCATGGTAACTATAAAAAGGCAAAGCGTGTGTTATATAATGATTTTTGCAAAAATAATGATGAAAAGCAAAATACTTTTTTGTGATAATCATTTTTGGGTTGGTATAGATTTTGGCCGATATCTTCGAGACCAATAGGTCTTTCGCAGTGATTCTTGCAGAAATAAGATCTAAATATGTCCACAAACATATCCTATCATACATCATTCATTTTACATCTTTGGTATGCTGGCTTTAGACGTATATATTAGAACTTTGTCAAATTTGTATTGAGACAAAATACTTATTACACTCACAGTATGGGAAATTACAAATTTCTTTTAAAATTCTATGAAATAAAATTTAAACAAATTTTTTGTGATCACATTTATGATTTTTGATACATAGGTTAAGAAAAATATGCTGATTCCAAATCTGTTCGCGTTCACAAATTCGGATGCTGCACCCAGAAGTTATAGCGATTTTAAACTTGTATTTCAAATATAAATTCAATGAATTCCTATTTGTTGTAATTCGCGAATTTCTTCACAAATGGTTAAACACATTTGTTTTCTTTGCATACTTGTTAAATCACATTGAATTACGGTTAAATTGTCGCGAAAAACAAATAGAAGCATAAGGATATCTGAAAATAAAATAAATAAATACGTTTTTTGTCTTTTCGATTTTTAGTATGGTTAAGGGGATACGGTTTTGCTTTGATCTTCTAAAATATACGACGCTTTCTTCTTCAAATTCTTTTAGATGATTGTTAAATATCGGTATATTCATCTAATAACAGTTTCGAATGTAAAAATGACTAATATATTGCACTTACAATACATAAAAATGATCAATATTGAAAAGCATGCAATTCGCGGATTCGTTGAATTCAGTTGTTGCGCATGCGGTTTTCGTATAAACGGAATCAATCTCTTCCAATAATTATGAATTTTTCGATGTTTCATTTAGCGGCCAAAGTGTGCCGCTCGATGCAAAATGGCTAAAAATGACGCAACGTGCATTAGATTTTTATGCGCATCAGATTTCAGTAATCTCCTATGAAAATATACACAGGTACACCAATTTTAAAAAGATTGGTTAAGAACCGCGGATGTGCCGCCACAATCAATTTTGGATTAAATGCACATATTATTCGCGTATCGATGTATTTTTGGCCTATTTTCACACAGATTCGCGATTATGATAATACAAACATGAATATAGGTAAAATCAATTCGAACAATATAAGTTTTTGCAATTTTTCCTACATTCAAGATATCTATATCCACCGTTTTATTGGTCGGAATTGAACATGGCTGAACTTATTAGATTCGGCACGTAAAAAACTAAAATCACGCGGGGTTCAATGGCATTTGATTAGACCTTGTTAAATTTAGACTCAAAAAATAGGTTTTTTATAAAAATTTACGCACCAAATTTTCGTCTTTGGAATCTAATTGCAAAGAAGATACGGTGAGCACACTAAACGAAGCAAAATCACGAGTTCTACAATCCTATAATCAGTTTAGTCCATTATCTGGTTGCGCGTCCTAATTATAAGAACAATTCAAAAAACACCGAAAATTCGGCTTCAAAATGTCAGCATCCGTTTTGGGTGGATGCAGTGATTATATCGATAAATGGGATATTCTGCAACTTAGTCACTGATCACATATACGTGCGTTGTGTAGTTTAGCCACAAATCAGGAACGAACATAAAAAACTCGTTGGCTTCAACCCTTTCCTTCCTCCCAACTTGTTATTTATTACCATTATTTTATAATTCTGAGAAGAACACTTCATTTTATAGAAATGAATATAAACTATATGCAATATATTCATATTTGGCGAGTTATAAGCTTGCAAACCTCAGTTTCAAGGAATTTAAAACATTTTTGTAATTTCCCATATATATATATATATATATATATATGACTTCACTTCACACAATTGTTGAATGTAAAAGAATATGTGGAATTACCTTCATATTTTGAATAAATTTTATTTTTCCGTTTAAATTTTAACATTTTGACTCACAGTATGAAAGTTGAACTAGTGAATTGTATACACTAAGTGATGTTAAAAGGTTGCCATGGATGCAATATAAACTTTTTGTAGCTATGCGTAAAAGTTATATGTGTAACCATGGTACAATTATAAAAGGTAACAGCAAATCCCAGCTGATTTGATTCCAACGTAATACTAGTGTCAATATGAATTTGACAAATTATGTTTTTAAAAATAACCCAACAGGAAAATTGGGAACGCATACAATTTAAAATTGTTCTTTATTAAATGTGCTCCTGTATTCAATTTACAATTATAGGAAAGATGTGGAATAGATAGATATATAAATTTGATAGATTTTCATTCATGTTTTTCAATTTTTATTTTGAGGATTCGAAAATATTTCATTTTCAAAATAAAAATAATTTGATGATAATTTGTTTGTTTGTTTACATTTTTCTGTCAAATGAGTAGACACTAGTAGAACTTACAACAACAAATTCCCATGTGGTTGTTCACATCAAAACATTTTCGAAATAAAGCCTGTTTCACTTTTTGTTTAGCAAAAATTTTCTTTTAGATGACGCTAGATATGATTATATCAAGATTTAATCGAAATAAAATAAAAGAAAACTGAATGTTGGGACCTCTTGGTTTCGCCAAATATATTTCTCGTCCATTCTCCTTAATAGTATTTCAATCGATAAATCAATCAACAATTTAAAAATTTATCAATTATTTCTTTCTGTAAAAATTAAATTGTCGATAAATTCTCTCATGTTTTAAGAATGAGACGAATTTCTTTGTTGATCAGAGAGTTGAAAAACGTAGACAAATTTTTATTACATATGTCACTTTTTTACGCAACTCTTCTGCTGTTCCTTACGATTCTCGTTTAAATTTCTTAACCGTTTCCATACTTCTTACCTCACCCCCCCCCTCTCCCAAAAACTCAGCAAAGTTGCATACAAAAATTGATTGTGTAAAGATTTTAACGCGATTCACTACGGTGGTGACAATCATCGGTCAAATGAGTCTGGAGTATTTTTAATTTTTTTTACGATTGTTTGTGTTCATAGAAGGATTTTCGAGATTACATTGAGAGAAGTTCAAATATGTCACATTTAATTTAATGTTTATTATTATTATCGTCGGCCAAGTGAGTCTGGGAGTATTTTTAATTTCTTTTTTACGATTGTTCGTGTTCATATAAGGATGTTTGAGATTACATTGAGAGAAGTTCAAATATAAATCACATATAATTTAATGTTATTATTATTGTACTAAATCTATATGTTTTTCCTTTCAGAATATACTTGTGTAAACAATGGCAAGACTTGAAAATATTTAACGATCATACAGCACTTGCCACAGGAGTTCGATTTGGAAAACATGCTCAATACATTGCATCGACGAGTATGGACCGTACATTGAAGTTGTACGCCATAGAATAAACTTTGATTTTCAATTAAGTGTTTTTATATTTAGTAGTAAATGTCATCCTCTAGTTTTGATTATCAAATGGATTCTACACTTTTCCCAAAAAGTAAAACCTAAACATAAGATTAACTTACATATATATTCATAATAAACAAAAAGATACAAATTTAATAAACATTTTATTCTATACACGTTTCTAATAAGTAAACTCTCATTAATATGTTGCTCTTATGATGCCGCAGCTATTTGCTTCAAGGGACCTTCAAGGTAAGACGCCAGTGCCATTGCTTTCTGCTTCAGTAATCCTAGGCCAACATGTTCTTTTGCATACAGACATAACAATATACTAGCCACCTGCAATAACACAATTTGTATAGTGATTATTCTCGTTTAAAAATTTTCTGTTCCAGAACATTTAAAATTTAAATGTTGTTTAAACACAACTGGGAACAAACATTTATGTGTTACAAAATAATAACAGGAAAAAACACAACTTACCTTGGTGATTGCAACATGTCCACATTCACAATCAAGCAGAACAAACTGTAGTCGATCTTCTCGGAATGCATTACGTCCATGTTTTTCATATGCAGCCCATATATTACTCGCAATTGCTGCAGTCACTCGAGCATCTTTGTCCTTATCTCCGTAGCCGGAATAAGCAAGTAGCGCACCTTCCTGGCTAAGCAGCCTATAATAAATATGAAATGGGTACGATTATGTTGCAATTATTTCTGATTATGTATTCATAGAAAGATCGTTTAGGATGATTTACTTAATTATGTATGCAAAAATGTGAAATAGAAGAAATGAAATTGAACATTTACATTGTACTGGATTTCATTAGCCCAGTGGGGTTAAATTGTCAATCCCATTGCATGCGTATACAGTGTCGGCACAAAAAAAAAAATAGAACATTTTTTTTTATCGGAATGGAAAAGCGGATTTTTATAAGTTGCACATACTATTGCCACACACCAATATCTGGTTAACACAAGTTTAGACAAAAAGTGTCCTATATGTGGATACAGCTCAACATATCTTAGAAACTGCAACGCGTTCGACAGAGCCCGCCTCAACTACCACAACAAGTCAATATTAATATGATATTTAACTATATACGTCATCTTAAAATTAATATTTAATATAAAATCATTAAGAATTGTCAATAAATTTAGCTGATGGCCATTGTAGACAATGCTGGATATCTTTATTATTAGCATTGTATTTACTACAATGTTAAAAAAATTCCGACAAAACTGCATTAAAATTACTTAGTTTCTACGTGTGTGCCGCCAGTGTATGTACCCGGTAAAAAGTTCTAATGTACATGCCGTTTATAAAGTAAAAATGGTGCGAAATAAATACAACATACAGTTCAAAGAAATATTAATTAAAGATTTTCGAAACGGATTATCACAAAAATATATTTGCCAGAATACTCGAAACTGTTCACTGCGGTGGCCGTCCAAGGACCATAACATCGAAAGACGAAGCAAGAATAGTTAGAGAATTAAAAAAATATCCGGATAAATCAGCTACGAGTTTGATAGAAACTCTAAACTTAAGTTTAAGCAGTCGAATTGTACAAAGAACACGTGCTGCTGGACTTAAAAGTTATCGGACTGCAAAAAGCCATTCATATCGGAAAAAATAGAAAAGCTCGAATATAATTTGCCGAAGAACACATCAGTTGGTCTATGCAGAAGTGGAATTCAGTTTTGTTTTCGGATGAATCAAAATTAAAATGTTCTGATGGAATGAAGAGAGTACGGAGACCAATAAATAAGAGGTTAGATCCACGATATTACCAAGGCACAGTAAAACATGGGGGAGCTATTGTGATGGTCTGAGGTTGTTTTTCTGGTAATGGACTAGGACTCATACACGAAATAAATGGGATTATGGATAGATTAATGTACGAAGAAATCTTGCAAAGTGTTATGCTTCCCCATGCAGAATGGAATATGCCACTGGCATGGCAATTTCAGCAGGACAATGATCCGAAACACACCTCAAGACATTGGGTTGAAAAAGAAGATATTCAACTAATGAAGTGGCCAGCACAATCTCCGGACCTAAATCCGATTGAAATTTTATGGGAAATAGTTAAAAACAAGATATATAGAGAAGGTGTGGGAGGAGATAAGAAAAAACTTTTTGGAGCCTTGCAAGATGCTTGGATTGCTATAGACAAAACAACGATAGACAACCTTATTACTTCCATGCCCAGAAGATGTGCAGCCGTCCTCAAAACAAGGGATTTCTCCAAAATTTTGATTGCATTGTTTGGTTCAATATGTTTTGTCGCGTGAATTTTTAACATATTTTAGTTTTATTCATTACAAAGTTGAATTTTTATAAAATGTAGAATAAATCCTATTTGTTTTTAAAGTATTAAAGTTATGTTTTGAATTTCAATGCATTTTTTTTTTAAAAAAATTGAATAATTGTATATGTTTATGAAGTTTAATGATATTTTAAATTTATTCCAATATGTTTTGTCCGATACTGTATATGCAATGGAATTGACATTTGAGATCGAATGGATTTAGTAGTCTTAACGTAGCCTTATAGACAACTTTATGACTACTTATGACTACGTGGTTGTTAAATTGAAAACATGTAGATTTTGAGTTTCTTGATACTACTGGTCGGTTTCTCTTTCCGAACTCAAAAAGTGGAAAATCTAAAACAATTTTGATTATTTCAAGATTCTTGCAGGTTCGTGAACATAGCAATACATATTTTTATTATAATAACAACGTTACCTAAAATCCGACGGGGCGTACAAAAATATTCAACTTCCCCACTATGACAAAATGTTGTGTACGGCCGTATTACCCAAATACGTCGAATCCATATCTTCAAGCAAATAAAACAAACCGCAACACAAAATTGAAAATTTATTAAATTAATCCAATATTTATAGTTTTCATTCGAAATTTCAAATTTCCTGAATTTTCAACAAATGAAAAAAAAAATGAAAAATACGTTGTCAAAGTTGAAATTGTTCAACTTGAAATTTTGTACGTTCGACGTATGTATGTCGGTAACATTCATATAAATACATTAGTTCTAATTTTGTGGTTAAAAACGTCGAACGAGCTAGTTGAATTTTAGGTAAGGCTGTAATACATATACAACATTTGGCTTACGTTGAGTTTAGGGACTCATCTCCGATTTCACAGGTAGATCTTGTCTCCCTGATCACGAAAATATATGACTTTCATGGGAGAAATCCATACTTCCCGGAATTCATATGCTCATAACTACCTGTGATTTCAGAAAAATTCAGCCCCTAAACACAATTTATTAAAAAAGTAGAATCTACTGAGTATAGGAAAGTTATCGCTCAGACTACCATAAGAAAAATCTAGTAGACATCTTTAAGTTCGCATTTAAAAGTATTTGGTGTAAACAGATAGAACTATTTTTTGTTCGGTAATTGGTCTGTTCCCGTAGTGAAAGCATTTACTGTTTTTTACTTTCTTTTCGATATCTGCAGGTTCTGGAACAGACCAAAGGAAATATTGTTATCGTAGTAAACAATTTACATTCTCCTGTGTTGTGGAGCAGACATATCTTGATTTGATTTCTTGATATCTGACGACAAGTGTTATACCATATCCTATATTGTTTTGACCTTAGAATTCCAAAGTTTTGAATATAATACGCCCATATTCAGGAAGTCAGATACTTCAAACACTCCGGCAATGTAGAGTGTTGCCTCTATCGTAATGAAATAACAACAAAGAAAATTTATAAGTAAACAGACGCAAAAGCAATGCGACCCATTTTAATAATTAATGCACTTACAAGGTATTCTGGACACCACCCGAACATGCTTGACTCAGAACTTGTGTCAGGGCTTTTGGTTTTAGCATATTTGAAAGGTCAAAATTCTGAGATCTCGGAAATAAAATAAAAAATAAACCTCCCGTGATGATTCTCTTTCACCGACTGATAAAAAAAATTAAAGACGTTCCAACTGCCCTGAATGAGGGAGAAGAAAAAAATACCAATAAAGAAGGAACTCAAAGTGAAAAATGATAAATTTACGAATGAGATGTAACGGACACCGCTTAAGAAGCGTATTGTTGAGAAAGGTGCATGGACAATTGCCGATTAGGGATACCGCAAGTCGGCGATAATAGCAGCATTAGTCTGCTTTTCCACAGGCAAATTTTTATTTTGCAAATACTGAGTTTGTAGGCGAGAGGGGTGCGAGGCAATTTTGTTGACATTTCCTTTTGAACCTATTCGCTTTACTAACACACAGCCGGCTTTTGTTTACAAACCTGTTGCTTTAATTTGTGAAATTTAATTTTTAATTTTTGCAATTTATATAATAAAATATATAAAAAATAAATAAAATATTAAAAAAAAATCTTTAAAAATGCAAACACTTTTGACTTTTATTTTCTTTCTTTTGTATTTTGATTCGCAAATTTGGCAAAGAAAAATTTGCTATTGGAAAAGCAAGCGAAAATTTCAAAAGAGAAAACAAAAAATTTGCCAAATAAAAATCTGCCTGTGGAAAAGCAGACTTAGCAATATCGATAATAAAAATTGTTTTCGAATAACTAAAGCTAAGCCCCAATTTATATTAGGCTAGTTTAATTGTGGCAAGTTTTTGTTTGAAGGAGAGAGGGGCAAGGGGAATAGAAAGTGAAAAAAATTGCTCGTACCGGTAATTTTCTGGTAATTCGTTTTGTGAATTTTGTTTGAAGTGTCAGTAATTTAAAATACCAATCCATAACATTTTCAAAAAAAATATTTTTGAAATCGAATTGTCTTGTATAGACGAATGAAGCAAGTTCAAAAGAGAACGATAAAAATTGCCGCAAGTAAATTCGCCTAATATAAATCAGGACTAAGGTCAAACTAGGCAAATATTTCTGTATTCTTTTGTTTGCCCGAAAAATGTCAAATTTGAACACTTTGATGCAGTAATAGGGTTCTGTATCAAAACAAAAACATTTGTTTTTTATCCTACCATCTGTCAAATTTTATCTCTATATTTCTCATGGTTGGCAACATTGACAATCATGAGATATTGAAATCTTATGGTGTTTTTACACGATATGTATTTTACATATGTGCTGTCACTTATTTCATCCATATGTAATTCCTTATGTGTGTCAAAACATTTAAACATTTACAAAAAAATCACTTTTATTTTTCTTAAATCAACATATTTTTTAAACACCTACGAACGAAATAAAAATTTGTAATTGTTGCCTTTTCATCATTTTCTTTGACTTGCAATTGAAATATTTTCTTCCAACAATTGGTATGTTCCCGTACTGAAAAAAATACATATGTAATTCCATATCGTTTTGACACATTGAAATTTCCGTATGTTTCACATGACGAGTTCGATTTCCATATGCAAAAAAGTGACAGCACATATGTAAAATACATATGTGCTGTCACTTTTTCATCCATATGTAATTCCTTATGTGTGTCTAAATTAAATTTCAATGGAAATTTCAATGTGTCAAAACGATATGGAATTACATATGTATTTTTTTCCGAATATGACGCGCTCTGTTTTCGTATGTGAAACATAAGGAAATCAGCTGTTTGAATGACACACATTTGGTCTGTTCCCGTACTGCAAGAATCTACTATTTTTTACTCCGATAACACTTTTTTCCTTTATGATATCGAAGAAAATAGTAAAATCGAGTAGATTCTTGCAGTACGGGAACAGACCAAATGTGTGTCATTCAAACAGCTGATTTCCTTATGTTTCACATACGAAAATAGAGCGCGTCCTATTCGAAAAAAATACATATGTAATTCCATATCGTTTTGACACATTGAAATTTCCGTATGTTTCACATGACGAGTTCGATTTCCATATGTAAAAAAAGTGACAGCACATATGTAAAATACATATCGTGTAAAAACACCATAAGCAACATTCAAGGAGGTGGTACCTGGGGGAGGGGAAACTCTTAGGTGCATGTACATCTTCCGATGTGGTCTGGATTTCGAAAAATATTACTTTTGTGCGATGTTGTTTATCCGATGTTTTTCAACTTGATTTAAAATGATTATTCGGAAAGTTAGACTTAAACGGCATTTACATTAGAACTTTTTGCAGGGTTAACCTACTTTGTGAGGATTTATTTGACAAATATGCAAAGGAATTGACAATTAAAACCCACTGGGTTAACTAAATCTGGTACAATGTAAACGTACTATTATATCGGTAACTCTTTCGACCTTCCAGACAGGCATGTGTCAATCTAACGGAGTATATGTATGTGTCAATCATTCGCCTTTACTAGGTTGTATACGATCTTCTACATTTTTAAAAACTCATTTTATACTGTTACGAATATAACTTTAGATTTAAATTAATTTAGATGAATTCCGTTAATTTAAGAATTTGAATTGTAACGTAAATTTCTACTACGCAGTTTATTCAAATAACTTCACAACAACAACCACTGTATAGATTTTTCTACATCCTTCCATTTCCTCTTTCATTGTCTATTTTGTTATTGACGTACAATTCTTGGTAAACGTCATCATTGATGATCGCTTAATTCCTCTTTCTTTGTTACTCCCTCGCCTGTATATGTGTTGTTGTTATTGTTCACTTAATGTAAGTTTGTATGTGTTTGTTGCATTGGTAGATTGCTCGTAATCTAGGTGTTACCAGATCGTCTAGAAACTTCTGTAGCGAGGCAAGGCTCATATAAATAGGGGAAATGGCAAGGCAGTTGGTCAGTTGTGAATCAGATCGCGAATTGAAAATGTTAAGTAAAGAAAAGTGCAAAGTAAAGTTGTGTCAATAAAATCATTGTAATAATCGTAATCAGAAAGAACCCGCGTTTTATTTAGTACGAACTGTATTGGGAAATAAAACAAAGTCTACACGGGATTAAGTAAAATCCAAGAACGTAATAATACTTTCTTATAGGCCAATACTTTTGTTGTGCACCATGCAAATAGAAATTGAAAATTTGAGAAACGATAACCAACTATGAACCTTAGCAAATAAGAAACATAAAGAAAGCCTGATTGACAAAAAAAAAAAGAATTAAATAATATAATCAAATTTTTACATCCGATATTTACCATGGCATAATTACAAAAGGTAGTCTCATTTGAGAATTTTATGATGGCAACCTTTTTAATTAATTTAAAGGAGCATTTAAAGAGTTATTCACGCCTACGGGCTTAAAAAATACAAAATGGCGCTTTGTTAAGCATTCGCTTAACTTGCGAACTAGCTGGAGGAGGACCTGCCTACAGTTTTTTTATCGAACGTTCCCACCCCTGCCGACCGAGGGGGCGACCTCCCCATTCGTAGGGATCGCATGCAAAAGTCTACTTTAGAATACACAGAATTGAAGTCAATACACATTTTACTCAGTGGATCTCCCATAGAATAATTTGTGCGATGAAAATCTACGTATAATGGTTGATAATATCTACTGGATCGAAAAGGAACATTTATTATAATGGACGAAATTAGGAATCTGAGGGTATATTACCGTTTAGTATTTTAATTACCATCATAGTGTTCAACATAATACGTCTACTTTTTAATGTAGGCAATTGAATTAATTTTAACCTGCTAGTGTAAGAAGGCAATACAAAGTCACTATTCCAATTTAAACCTCTCAGTGCAAAAAGTAAAAATTGTTTCTGCACTGATTCAATTTTATCGGAATATATTGTATATTGGGGATCCCATACAACAGGTCGTACAATAGATGTAAAAAGTTGTTTTGAAATGTAAGGATCAGAGAAAGCCCATCGTTTTATAAAACCTAAGACACCGTGGGCTTTGTTTACCATAGAAATTACATGATTATTAAAATTTAATTTTGGATCCATTAAAATACCAAGATCAACAAATGAATCTACAGTTGATAAAACAGTACCATTAATATTGTATTGCCTTGTTAATCTGGAAAAACACATATGCTTACATTTGTTTAGGTTTAAATCCATACAGTTTAATTCGCACCATTGAAAAAGTCTATTTAAATCATTTTGAAGTAAATCAGCTTGCTTCATAGAGTTATTGGTGATAAACAATTTGACATCGTCTGCATACATTAGCAACTTGGAATGGATTATTGCATTTGGAAAATCATTTATAAATTGAAGAAAAGGGAGTGGGCCTAAATGACTTCCTTGGGGAACAGCGGAAGAAACATTAATGGATTTGGAGAGTCAATCATCAAACAAAACTACCTGTGATCTATTTTGCAAATAAGATGATATCAATTTAACTAAATTTCAGTCAGTCAGTGTAAATTGTATCGGTTTAATGATGGTTGAGGAAAATTGAATAAGATTGGTAATGGTTGAGAGGCCACTACGAAAACTATGTTGATATGGACTTAAGATTGGCTGAACTTTATGAGAAATGACATCAGTAATTAATTTTTCGAATAATTTTGGAATTGCACTTAATTTAGCAATTCCTCTATAATTTGAGACATTAGTTAAGCTACCAGATTTGTGTAAAGGAACTATATAGGATTTCTTCCAGAAGGTAGGAAAATGACTATATTTCAGGGAATAATTATACAATAGCGTTACAATAGGGATAGCTAATGTATCTGAACAGTACTTCATAATTATGCTAGTTTTAATTATTCTTAGAGAACGTAGATTTTTAGAAACATATTGTCTTTGTAAAAAAGGCATAGATTAGGGATGCGTAGTCGAGCGCAAAAGTCGACTTTTAGACTTTTCGATTTTTGCCTTTGACTAAAAAGTCGACTTTTCGATCTTTCGATTTTGTCAAAACTGCTCAAAATCGATTTTCGACTTTTACTGACTTCTGCAAAATCGACTAAAAATTTGATTTTTTATATGAATTATTGTGAACAAATAAAGTAAAGTTCCG